AATTGTATGGGGGAATATAAAAATAAAATTTAATAAAAAAAAAATAAATAAATAAAAAATAAAGTCAAATTAATTCCTGTAAAAAAAAAAAAAAAAAAAAAGACACAAAGAGGTAAGGCAGGCTGCTCAAGATTGTACAGTCAAGCGGCAGCGAGCTTGCCAGCCTGCAAAACCATGGCACCTGCCACCTCTCTCGAAGGGACAGCTGTGGGCACGTTTGCTTGGCTAAGGAGAGTCCAGTGACCGACTGATGGGAAGGAGCCAGCCTGCGATCTCAGATGCTAAGATTCCTCGGGAGAGAACCAGCCCATCGTACCTGAAAGTCCAGGTGGTAAAGTTGCACAGATGACTGGGGCACACGGGGGAAAGAGTAGAGATCCCTATACAACGCCACTGAGTAGAAATCGGACAGAGAGAGAGGGGGGAGGTGGCAGTGTAACAGATTTACCCAGGAGGGGGAGATTATTCCCAAACTTTATAGTTTCTCTTATATCCATCTATCGTTTTGTCTATCGTTGCTCTGTCCTTCCATTTCTTCATCTATTCACTAAATTCCTGTCTTCCATTTTCCCACCTTTCAACATGTTCTACCGTCCTTGTATCTATGTATTTCCATCCATTGACCCAGGCATTCTTCCATGCATGTTTCCCTCTTACATTTCACCATTCATTCATAGGCCTTTGTTTCATCTTTGATGTCCAGTTCTTACTCCAACAGAATATATATGGAGCACCTACTGTGTGCCCAGCCAGGGACTGTGAAACAAAGAAAGAGTGCAATGGAGTCCTGCTTTTCAAAGAGCTTCTGTCCAGGGGAAGAAACAGTCGAGAAACAGCTCATCTTGACACCATATGGTGAGAGTGATAAACAGGCTTGTACATGGGGTGGAAGTTCTGGGGAAGGAGCATGCGATCTGGAGAGATCTGGAAGGTCTTTGGGGAGGACACACCATTGGAGTCATACCTTGAAGGAGTACAGGAAATGTTCCAACTGAAGGAAGGGGATGTGGGAAGTCTTCCTGAGCAAAGCTGTGATGTTGCAAAAGTTGCTGGAGTATAGGGGGTGGCTCAGATCAGCTGACCAGAGCAGCATTTGGGGGCTAGAGGAGGAGAGAGCTGGAGCAGTCACAGGAAAGGTCTTGACTGCCAGCGTGGGGGTTAAATTTGACACTCCTGGTACTGCCAGAAGAATCTGCTGGGAGTGTGTTTCCAAGAGCCCTCTCTGGAAGCCTGCCCCTGATGCTGGTGTGGGAGATGGTGCTGCAATAGTCTGAGAAGGAAACACTGGTGCTCAGATCAATAACGCAACTTACATTTCATCTTGTTCATCCCTTGATTGATGATGTAGAACCAGAGTTGGATCATTGGACACAGCTGAAACACAGATGAGCAGAAGCTGCCGTGAGAGGAGAATTGGGCCACCCTCTGCGGCGCCCAGCCCTGTCTCTGACTGTACAACTGAGTGACTCTATCAGTCTCTCATAAACACAGCCCAAACCTCCCTTTTCCAGAGGTGTGGATGCTTGGCACACATTAGTGCCTCTACCCCTCCGCCATAGCAGGAACCTAGAACAAAAGACAAAATCAGCCAAACTCCAGGAGACTGGGGAGCCGAGAGACAGCACAGCTGGCCTCGGCTGTGCCTCTGCACCCCTAGCTGCAAAATCTTTGCAGCTATCTCCAGGGTTCACACTGTGCCGGCTTTGTCATATTTACGATGTAGGTTAAGAAAGCCTGTAGGTTCTTTTTCATTGCAGGTAGTATGACTTTTATCAGTGGAGAGAGCAGGCTGGGAAGAGAGTGGTGACATTCAAAAATAATAACAATTATGACTAATGGTTACAAATGTATCCTGTACTCCAGGAACTAGTCTGAGCACTTGGCATCTATGAATTCAAATTACCATGACAGTTGAAAGCACAGGTTGCTTGAATCCCAGCTCCCCTACTTCCTGGCTGTGTGACCTTCTCTAATTTACCTAACCTCTCTGTACTTCTCATGTGTAATATGTAAAATAGAGTCATTGTGAAGATTTAAGAAGTAAAACAAAGAGAAAGGCCGGAAGACATTCAACCCATCATCAGTAGAGCATCTGTCACCTCATGAACGGGTGATACCTTGAAATTCTTCGTTGCTTGATTTAAGGCACATAGAGGAGATTTCCTCTTAGAAACCCTGTTCTAAAATACAAGTGGCAAAGCAACAGTTTGCAGCCAAATGAAGGCCACAAGTGTTCTATTTTGCGAGAATGGTCTTTTAAAAGTTTGCAGTGAGCTCTCTCAGTATTTAAAAAATTAGAAGACTATACTTTAAAGTCAAATTTTAAAAGTCAAGTTTCTCTTTAGAATACAACTAGCAAGACTGGGTCCACTTTGCCACATGGCCATAGTCAGCTGCAGCCAAAGAGGAACTGCTCTCCTCAGATGAAGTACATTGTGCCACAGCCCCCACCATTCTCTATTGCCCCTAAAATTGAACTGAACTTATATGGTGTATTTCTCTTAATTTGGGACACTAATTATGCTAACTTCCTATCACAATCATCTGAGTTTGTGATTTCTGTCCCAAGGCATGGAATTCAGAATCTGGGAACTAGAAAAGACCCCAGGGACTATGCAGTTGAGTTCTCAGGCTAGACTGCCTATTTTTTTTTTTTTTTAAGATTTATTCATACAAGCACTGGGTACAGTCAGAAGCGCGGGAGGGTGAGAGAATCCACCAGAGCCAGAGCAGGGAACAGAACAGGCAGACTGACGAAATACACTGCTGAAGGGAGCAGCGGGCGCGGCAGGAGAGGTCTGTTGCTCCATGTGGGACCCTCGCCGGTGGCCGGGGATCGAACTGGCGCTGCAGAGGCTGCGGGCAGCCTCGCAGCCCAGCGCCCAACCGCTGCGTCACCAGGGGAGGCCCAGACTGGCTATCTTTTTAACCCATAATGAAATTGAACTATAGCACTCCTGAGTTATAGCACCTGTTAGTGATTTACAGCTCATTCTAAGCCATGAAATAATGACCTTAAAGATCACTGAATGGGTATAGAATGAGTTGTCCAGCCAAGATCGAATTACTTACTTAGGGGAGGTGACAATCAATTCGGTCTGAAATTCCAGGTGGAGTTTGGATACAGGATGGACCTTCCATGAAATCAGGACAATATCAGATTTGGTGATTTTGAGCCTGCAGAATTGGACAAATGAGGGGAAGTGCGAAAAAAGGAGAAATCCCCAGTCTTTTCAACTCAGCACTCACACTGAAATGCAGTTTTTCCTCCATCTGCCCCATTCCCCCTCTCCTTAGCCTATTTTCACTCAGCCTAGATAAGGAAAGTATTAGCCTATAACTGAGTTGTTTTTTTTTTTTCAGTTCATTAAGATATTAACATAAACGTTGTGGGTGTAGCATGTACAAGGCTCCTTTCAAGTTAAACAAGAGCGGAACACTTGTTCACCCAGGGGCAATACTGATGTGCTTTTGCACCCCAGGGACTCATCAGTGGAATGCCTTGTTAATAAGATTAGAGCCATGGGTGGGAGTTGGGTGTATACTCACCCTCCCAAAAGCCCAAAATCCAGTGTTCAGTTTGACCCACTCTTCTCTGTCAATAAAAAGTCCAGAATCCTGTAACAAGCAGCATCCTGCATCCTACAGCCTGCTCCACAACTCCTGTTTCTTTCCTTTATCACTGCGGTGTTGGTGATGCAACAAAAAATCATCAAATTCATATCATCAGTTGATAGTGGGTATTAACGTTTAAGAAAATGTTATTTTAATCACTGGGGTATTAAATAATAACCAAGGCATCGGCTGGCAAGGACTTCTGCTGCACTCTCTCCCAGTGTTACTTGTAATCTAGTAGGAACTTGGATGAGCTGACATAAATCCAGGGGATGAAACCATAATGGGGGAATGTTGGGCAGTGGGTTGACAGTTGGGAGGAGGAAGTGGCGTCTGATGTTGCCTTCTCAAGGTCAACATAGAAGACTCTGACATTTATAGCCCTGGGTGATAATTTTCAGATATCTGGAACCTTCACTAATCAAGGCTTTGTGGACTACTTTATTGCTAAAAGACTCAAACTCACCAGTTCAACTTCTCAAGAGGAATCTGGTTCTTTAAAACTTTGTTCATGCCAACAAGACTCTTGTGACCAGAGAGACCCCCCAAAGGACTTTTGCCTGTCAAGTCTTCAATAGCCAAGTGCCCAACTGCAGCCAGGAGGTCATCTTTGCCAAGAGGTAAGATACTGCTGCCCAGCGGGATCTTAAATGGTTTTTCCATATTCCTGATCACATTTGGGTTATGGAGAAAGATGTCCATCATCAGTCCTTTCTGAGGCAGGAGATCTTTGTCCAGGGCACTTGTTTCACTGAGAGGTTTTCCAGATGCTATTTCAACTTCTTGACTGTTATTACCTGGGGAGGTAGCACTCTGTCAGTGACTGGACTTCTGTGTTGGGAAGGCCTGCCACCCACTGGGATTCCCATCTGGCCAAGATTTCTAGATTCCACCTTTCCCATGGGATCAGAAGGGCCAGAGATGCCATGTCTAGGCCCACCATGACCTAAGAAGAACCTCTCAGAGTTGCTATATCATTATGTGACCCAGTTCCAGAGTGAGCAAAGTCCAGATAACCCAGTTCCAGACTGGCCATGACCATTAGGAGACTTAGCGCCAGACTGGCCACAGTCAACAGATAATTTAGCCCCAAACTGACCAGAATCTCTGGATGATGCAGCCCCAACATGAGTATGATTATCAGACATCCTTTTGCCAAGTTGAATATATCCTCCCAATAATGTAACCCCACACTCAAGAGTCATCAGATGGTGTAGCTGACCATTCATTGACCCAACCTCAGACTAACCCAACATCCTAGATGACTCAACTTTAAGCTGATGCAGTCCATTCATTGACTAGTCTCAGATGGACTAAAATGAAAAAAATGTCCCATCCCCAGGTCAACCATATCCTCCATAGGTTCTTGCCTCAAGATACTGTTATCTCTCCCAGCTCTGCATGGTCACATCTGCCTCCACACGTGTGACTTTTGTAATGTGGAGAGAGAGCAAGGGTCTCCTCAGGGCCTCAGGCTGGCCTTCTCAGTGGCCACTCTTCCCTCGAGGGGCGTGACAGGCTCTGGAGAGAAAAAAAAAAAGATGACTGTTATCAACAGATGTTCCAGACCCAGGAAGACCATTTCTTGACCCTGTTCCAAGAGATCATAATCACTAGATGACCAGTTCCCAATTGGACCACTCATTGACCCTGCTCCAGATTGACCCACACCACCAGATAATTCACTCAGGCTGACCATACCCTCCAAACCCCCCAGCTCCAGTTTCATCATAACAACTAGGTGACTGATTACCAGTCTGGCCTCCATTAATCCAGCCCCAGATTGGCCCAGTTGACCCAGACCCTCGCTGACCATACCTATGAGATGGCTTATCCCCAGTTTGACTATAACCACCAGATGACCCACTCCCAATTTTACCATAATCACTACATGACTTATCGCCGGTCTAACCACTCATTGACTCTGCCCCAAACTGACTGCAGCCACTAGTTTCCCCAGTTGCAAGATGACCATTTATTGGTCCTTCCACAGATAGACCAAAAAACTACCAGATGATCCAGCCCCAAACTAAACATAACTGCCAGGATCAGCCTCCCCAAAGGTGGCAGTGCTTCCTTGAGGAGCATCTGAAAAAGGAGCAATACTGAGATGCTGATACCACCCACACCTGTAATGTCACCCACACCTGAAATGGTTAGGTTGATAACATAAGGTCAGAGTAGCTAGTAACAGACTCTGTTCCCTCTTAATCAGGCTGTCCAGGGGGAGTCACTCCTTTGTGGCAGAAGGATCTTTTACCATCATATCACTTTCATCAACAGAGACTTAACTACTCATCTGACAGTTTCATCCAGAATGACGTGGTTTGTTATATATGTTTTCACGGGGTAGAGAAGGGGTAGTGCAGGCCCAGCCTTCCTCAGTGGGAGCATGGTCAGCAGGTTGGGTTTCTTACCTGAAGCAGCCTGGTTGATCACAGTTGTCATCAGGGGTGGAGCAGAAGTAGCCCTAGTTGTTGTCAGAAGTGGCGCAGAAGTAGCCCTAGTCACTGTCAGGGGTGGTGCAGAGGTAGCCCCAGTCGTTGTAAAAGGTGGCACAAAAGTAGCCCCAGTCATTGTTGGGAGTGGCGCAAAAGTAGTCCTAGTCATTGTCAGGGGTGGCGCGGGGGTAGCCCCAGTCATTGTGAGGGCGTGATACAAAAGTAGGTGAGGTGGAGCAGAAGTAGGCTCAGTGGTCCTCGCTGAGACTATGGTCAGCGGAATGGGTTGCTGGGGCTGGGCTTGATACACAATGATGCTGCCAGGGTTGAAGTTCAGATTAATGTACTCCATGTTAGCCCCAGGGTTGATGTGTTCAGAGGACTGGACAGTTTCACTACTTGGAAAAGTGATGGTGACCTCAGTGCGTTCGTCATTCATACTGAAAAGGTCTGTGCCCAACAGGCCAACATTGTCCAGGAGGTCTCCAGGTGACTGTAGTCTTCTGGGACAAAGACACAGGGTGAGTAAAAGGTCACAACCTCCTGCCAGTGACGGAAACAAACTGAACCAGAACTCTGCGACCATGCCCAGAAACCAGCATGAGGATTACACTTGCATATTGAGAACTGAGACTCGAGGGCTCACTGTTTTGAGCATTTGACCCAGGCAGCAATGACAAGTCAGACACAAGGTGGCACATTTGGGCCACTTATGGGGAAATGGAGCACAATGATGCAATTGTGCTCTGAGAAATAGAAACAACCATGGGAACCTCAGAAAGGGTGTAGGTAGCTGCTTTGGCAGTTGACAGTTTCCCAAATCTTGGTTGTGGTGCTCTGGAAAGGCCCAGGGGACTTCTGAGCCTTGAAATCTGTGAGATAACCATTCTCCCTTTTTCATATATCATTTTTTCCCCTTAACTACTTTGTAGAGAAGGTTTATGTTCCTTGCATCCAAACAATCCCTAAGACACAAACTGGTGCCAGAAGTTGATAAGAAACCTTCAGAGAAAATACGGGCCACGCTATAGACTTGAAGCGTACAGGTGGTTTCCAAAGTGGCCTTCACAGAAGATTAGATGCTCTAAGCCTGGGGTATGTGGTTCCAAAGCAGATGCTTTAGGACTTACCCATGATCTCACATGACTTAGGTCGTCAGAGATTAAGGCTAGGAAGATTTACCTGGAGGCTAAATGTTAGAATGGACAACTATGATGAGACAGCAAAGATGTGACTTGTAGTTTATATTCAATGATGTTCTAGACACTAAAAGGTGATCCAAGAGGAGTTAGGACTCTCTGACAAAGCGCCTCCGGACACCACTTCTGTCACTTACAAATCTAAGCATTTCTAATGAGTCACACTTGGTGACAGTTGCCAGCTTGTCCAAGAGAAAGTGAGTTTGCTTTTTCTGGAATCTCTTTGGAAGCAGCTTCCAGGAAGGATGGGATGACTTACCTGTTTGGGGACTGGAAATTTCTAACTGAGCATGACTTGTGCTAAACAGGTACCAGGGGAGAATCCACAAAAACAAAGCCATGTTCACTCCCGGTCCCTAGAGAAACAACAGTCGATCAACAGGGAACACTGATGTGGGACCCGGAGTCCTGGCCTCTCACTGATCTTCACCATTGCTTTCTACATGGCTGGATCAAGGCACTCAATTAACTTTTTTGAGCCTCAGTTCCTTTGCCTGTAAACCTGTCATATTTTCACATGTTCTGCCTCTTAACAGGAAAATGCCCCATTGGGCACCAAAGCACTCTGCATGTGTGGTAGTCCTGACAACAGCCGATATTTACTATGCTTGTTAGGCAGCAGACATCCCACTGAACACCTTGCCTGCCTGGCCCAGTTTCACCTTCACAAGATACTGTTATTATGTCTGCCTCATGAGGGCAAAATGAAAGCAGAGTGGGCCAGTGGTGGGACTTGCCCCAGATCACCAGGTAGGTCAGAGGTAGAGTCGCCCTGGGGGTTATGTGGACCCCTTCTGGCTAGAACTAAGACTTTTCAAAAGAATTTGACACATTATTTCAAGAGAACTGACACATTTTGGGTCTCTAGAAAGAGTAGGTTTGGGCTTCCACAGGTATGGTGTTGGCTGTTACACAGACATACCTAAAGTTGAGGGTCCCCATTTTGCAGGTCTGGAAACTGACTAGAAGCCAGGGTTCTAACTCCTTCCTTACCACCACATGTCTGCTCTCCAGGCCTCCAAGATCAGGGAATGCAAGGCCCTTACCTGGGACATGGCTCCTCCCAGCTGGGACGGGCAGGTCTCCTTCACCTGACACAGAGTGAAAGACAGGAGCCTAGAGGAGCTTAAATAGCAGGCAGGCAAGGCCAAGGAGTGGGCCAGGCACCAAGGGGGTAGCCCAGATGGCCTGAGGGACCTGAGCAGGGCTCCGGGAGGACTTGGCCACTCTGGCAGGTACTAGAAGTGGGGGGCCGTGGCACAGGGCAAAGACTCCGCCCCTGGGCCGAAGGAGGCTGAGGCTCTGAGGTCAACTCGGGCAGGAATTGTTCCTTCCTGAAACCATCGCAAATCTATGTGGGTCTGAATGTGTGCGTGCGTGTGTCCATAGCCTCTGCGTGTGCTTTTGCTTAGGTGTCTGTGTGCGTCGCATCTGTGCATGTGGCTGCGTGTGGGTTTATGTTTGTGTTCTGTATGTGATGGCATGAGTCTCCCTCTCCGTCTGTGTGTCCATGTATCTGTGTGTGTCTGTATGCATGCCTGTGGGTTTCTGTCTGTGTGTGTGTGTCTGTGTTTCTATGTGAGTTTAAATGATATGTTTGTTTATGTCTATGTGTCTGGAGGCCGGGAGGTGGTGGGGAGGGGGCTGGGCCCTGTGTATGTTCAGGTCTATCTACAAAGTTTTGGGAAGAGGTTGATGCTTTCACCCGATTCCCCAAGGCATCTGAGCCGCACTCCCACCCCCCCATCCCCATCCCTGTTTCATCCCTACCCTGGGGAGTTAGCCTCTTCTCTAAGGCAACTCCCTGTGGAGTTGGACAGACTCACTGACATAAGGAAGATCTTCTCAATGTTCCTCAGAGAACTTTTTTGGAATCTCTCCTGAGGGATTTTTTGTTTCTAAAATAATTCTTTTTTTTTAAAGATATCTTTATTTATGCATATAAGAACTGGGGTGCAGGATGGAGGTATGGGGGTAAGAGGATTCAGAGAAAGAGTGGGGAGCAGAACAGGCAGATTGACTGAAATACACTGCTGAGGAGAGCAATGGGCTAGTCAGGAGAGGTCTGCTGCGCCATGTGGGTAGCTCTCTGGCAGGGATGGAACTCATGCTGCTGAGGTTGCAGATAGCTTCATAGTGCTGTGCTTAACCCCTTGCGCCACTGGGGAGGCCCCGTAAAAGAATTCTAATGACAGCTGTTTCTTCAAAAATACCAGTGTTTCCACTGCTAGGTATTTACCCAAAGGACACAGAAACATCAATTCCAAAGAGCACCTGCACCCCTATGTTTATAGCAGCACTATTTACAATAGCTAAGCTTTGGAAACAACCCAAATGCCCAATAATAGATGACTGGATCAAGAAGATGTGGTACATATATACCATGGAATATTACTCAGCATTCAAAAAAGATAAACACATGCAATTTGCAGCAACATGGATGGCGCTGGAAGGGATCATGCTCAGCGAAATAAGCCAGAAAGAAAAAGAAAAATACCGGATGGTCTCACTCATAGCAGGAATCTAGAAAACTTAAATAAGGGACCAGGAAAAAGAATAACTATAAGAAAGTGAAAATCAAAATCAACAAACAACTATGAACCAGAGACACTCTATGGGGGTGGGGGGCGGGGAAAGGAGTGCTGCACCTCCCCCTGCAGTGACCCTCAGGGCTAATGGCTCTTGCCATGGTCCCTGAGGTCCGGCGTGGGCAAGGAACCATGCGCGCAGCGGGAGAACAGCAAACTCCCTAAGATGCAGAGAAGCCGAATGCCTGCCAAGAGATAACGACCACCAGAAGCTGCCACAAAGATGATTAAAAGAAATGCTGACCACCTGGAACCTTATCTCGCTTTCTCAAGGCCCACAAACTTTATTCTG